TGTTCACCTGGAGACGAAATATATATAAGTAAAGATAAGAAAGTCTACCATTATACTTCTGTTTCGTTTAACAGCTCTCATGCCAATGGGAGTAGTAGTTGCAAATTCTCTGAACATTCACTCACAGGGGAGCAGTTAAACTGTGCTTTAAATTGTACTGTCCAGTGGTTCCAACTTGGAAGATTGTTAGCGAGCTACTTTTATCGGAAAATTCTACTGGCTGCTTTCATTGTCAAGTCACTCTGTTGAATCCACCTGTCTTTCGCATATTCAACGTACCCTTTACATTTCCTTTAGCGATCATTTGCAGTAGGTGAGAAAAAAGCTACAATAGTTTAAGTTTTTGGTCTGGATAAAGTGGTTTCGCAAGGTTACAGAGAACTTCACTTTCGCAGGGCAGTCACGTGTCTTTTAATATCCCATTTCCAGTCAAACTATTCATGGTTGTCCAGTATTCGTTTGTAGGGATTTCGTTTGATTGGTTGGATGATTTCATAATGAGCTGACATCGGTTAGAGAACCACTGGAAAACTTGGGAGTACTGGACAGCTGTTTCATTCTATTTTAGGACTCTTCACAGTACCCACCCACCACAGGGGTTCGAACCCAGCACCATCTGGTTACAAGGCGAGCTCGTAGACCGTTAAGCCACTGGGACCAGATCCACTGTCCTATAAATCTTTACTTCCGCCAATTCACGATACAGCGCGACCACTTCGCAATGTCCTCTTGGATGAGTTACTGCCCTCACCTTCGAGCTGCTGTACCCTACTGGTCCCATAACTAAAGCACATCTTTAAAATGTCTTTTGCACTATACTGTAGCCCTATAGTCGTTCCTCAAAATAAACCCGAAATAGGAAAAAGAATATGAATACCACAATTTCGAAAATATATTTAATTGCCAAATATTGTTTTTACGTTCATAAAAAATATGATGTATCTTCAAAATATACATAGTCGATATTCAGTTCTCAATCTAACAAACCATTTTCGAGCATCAACTTTGCGACTCTTTCTTCTATTTCAGCATTTGATGGCTTTTTAAACTGCTTTTTAAACGGTTTATGCTTTTTTACCGCTTTCTTCTTACTTGTATTTACATTTTTCGAATTATCCACTTTAAGGGATACTGACTCCTTATTCGATTTCACCATGTCATCTTTGTCATTATTTAATCTCAACAATTTTAATTGTTCACAAAATGTTGAAACTGTTGTTGTGGCATTTGCTGAAGATTTAACAAATGATACAGTCGATTGAACATCATTTAAGATTTTTAAATAATTGTCAAATAAATGTAGGGCATCGTTAACATATTTACTATTGTCTTGATAATTCATTAGTTTCTCTATAATTATTTCACGTACATAGTCATGACGTGCATTACATGATTGAATTTGACTTATACAATAATAAACTTCATGAAAAAGATATCCACTTGGAAATATACAGTAGACATGCGGTAAAACTAGACAAGTTGGTAGTTTTTCTCTTTCATTGTCAGTTACCAAAGAATTTAATAGATTAACTAGAGTAGATATAATCATATAATAAATCTGCAGTTGACCGTATACATGTACAATGTGTATATTTAACTTATGTTGATCACTAATCCCACGTTTCTTTCTATTATTTGTGTTCAGTTGTGTTGTAAAATAATTTGCACAATTATGAAAATGTTTCTTGATTGGTTTACAATAGGATAGATGAGAATAATTACAGTGAGATATTAGAAGGTATGTACATATGCAAATCGTGCTGAATGTAAGAGAGACTGGACACAAAGTGATATCATCAGTAGTTGATAAACATTTACTCCGATAGATGAGAACATTTAGTAGAGCGACAGATGTTAACCAACTGTTATTGCACAACTTTGTAGGATTGTGTATCAAACCTAAATATTCTTTCAGAAAGGCTAAACGACGATCTGTTTCATTTATCTCACTGTTTGGTAGTAATTCTATCGGTTTTACTAGCACTTTACGACGTTTTATGTAAAAACTGCCTTTTCGATCAAGTTCAGTAACATAATACGACTGACGAACTCTTTCTACACCAGTTAGTTTGTCCGGAAAACGAAACGTGAAATTCCACTCAACTCCCAAGACAAGATTGTATATTAGTGAACGAAGATACACTGAATCTGAGTAGATCGAATTATGACTTTTTAAAGCTTCTATACCACAGACAAATACTGAACCACAAGATAAAATACTATCCAAAAATATTGGAACTATCAGATACTTCCGAAATGCGTCTAGCAACGTTTCAGGCCAATAAGATGTTACTTTATATGATGTGGTATCAACATATTCATTATTGGTAGTGTGTATACGAATCCGATCATCGATATCTTCATCTGCTTTATCATTTTTGATATTTAACAACTGACTATCATCAATACACCCGTCAGTTTCAGAAGGGCATGAAGAATCAGATGCAGACGAATGATGCAAAAATGACGAATATGTGCTACAACTATCTGATTCCGCATCAAATTTCTTCTCTCTACACAGCACATCATCATGCATAGACAGAGATGGAAGATATTTTGCAAAAATTAGATATAATGATTCTGGATCAGTTCTGTAACTTTGTATGCTTTGTGTCAACTCACTATACCGTTTAGAACGTTCATCTTTTGGATATCTATCTAATATACGATTAATTGGCTCTTGAGTGTTGGCTCCAAAGTCTGATAACCATTTAATAAGACTGGTTATCAAATTTCTGCGACGTTTCATTTTCATTTCTCTGCTTGCAGCCTTGTTCAGAAATGTTGTCTTTCCATGAGATACTGGTAATGCTTTTAGAAATTTTTCTGAATTGATATAATCATTTCCCAGTAAACTTGCTAACAGTGGTCGTTGAACATCTGGCAGTCCTCTCAAACCTGATCCATTAGGAAGAAACCTTTGACAGTTTAAATAAGCGCATATTTTATGCTGACGTCGACAACAAGTACTACATTTAACAGAGTTGATGACTGGTTCAAAGGAAATATAAGTCATTGGTAAAAAGCAGACACCTTCTGCATTACTTGGTATGGTAATATAAAAGTCCGAATCATTACTTATGACTGGACATTGTAAATAAATGCCTAGACTTATTACATCTTGATCTGATTCTCCGTCAGAGGTAATATAATCAACTTTTAAATTTTCCAGTGACTGAACCAGAGTAATAGTAGCTAAAGGTGGTAAAATTTGTACACATAATGAAGTATCAGCTGGGCATAAATTATGATGAGCAATTTGTTTTAATAAATTCCGACACGTCTGCATTCGTTGATGATTTCTTTTCACTTGTGTACTTAACTTGAAAGGCTGAAAACAAGTAGAGTTAAAAATAAATCTAATTTTAGAAATTCGACATGCCCTACTCAACGTTATAGATCACATAAGGATACACATGTACAATAGTAGTCACGAGATTAACAGGTCAGTGTAAAACCTCCTATAGAAGTTCAATTAGACATATTTCAATACAATAGCACAGAAAGAGTGTTGTTATTATGGTTAACGAACATGTAACGTAGAAAAATATAATACAGTCAGGGGTAAATGAAAACGTTCACAATCTTAACAATAAAAAGTGAATACAACCACATTACTAAAATCGATTGTGCGTCTTATTGATGAAAATCTTCATCTTCTGATGTTGAATACCGTAGAGAACTGCTGGATTCAAGCAAACCAAAACTCACCTAGCTATATATGCTGAAGGAAAAAACTGGCTAAATTCGCACAATTTCGATGTCATCACATCCCATCAAAATCAAACAGAGATAAAGAAAATAAATACGTTACCACAACTTAAGCCAGTGCGGGGGAGAGAATAATTACATGAAGAATGAAGACCTGATGAGTCTGAGACACCAAAAGGAATTAATGCATTTAGGCCACTGAGAACGATTTTGAGCCAACAGTCTCAAGCTGTTAAGTTTTCAGAATCTCAATAAATCCAGACAGTCTATACTTCTTTACGTGGCTCAAATCAACAAACAAAGACTTCATGGGTTGATGCCATCTTTTGGTCTTCTTTTCCCTTTGTGTGTATCTCTGCCCTGCTGCAGAGAAAAAGCCTGAGACACGAATAACAACTTTCTATTTCCTACCAAGACACTCATGCAGTAGAATAACACTAGTTTCGGAACAGTACAATGTGAATATAATAAGTAGTTTTGGATGGGAATATGTAAGCAAAAAATTGTTCAATAGTCATTTCATGATACCCCTAAATTTACACAAGTAATCATATCTTTGTGATCGTTATGTCAATGGAGATCTAGTAGAGATCTCGACGAAAATATGGAGTAAACGCATTGGTGCTTCTGTGACCTGTTCTCTAGCATATCATTTAAAGGTGTCGTCTATCTATTTTAATTGCTTCGTGGTACAACCAACCATCAATGGCATTATGTTAGCATCTACTGAGACGTGATTACTTCTGTCTGTTTGGAGAGATAATAGAATAAGAAGCGTAATACAGGAAAAATATTTAAACCACAAATATTGATTTCAGCGTTAACCGAGCAATTAGCAAAAGTGCGCGAGGAAACTTAGAAATCTATACCAAGAATCTTTAGAGATAAACTGTGTTATGAATAGGTTGGCGAATTCGGATGACATCCAGGCGTTTGATCCTTACTAAGTGAAGTGAAATTCGAATTCGCCACTAAGTGTTCAGGGATAGACTAATTAAACCAGTGAGACATTTGAATGAATACAGGTTATGTTAGGCGACAGTATTTCGCAAAAGGCTTATCAGAAGATTGTAGTACTATTGGTCTGAGTTTCTTAGGTGTTGGCACTTGATATAAAAACTTACCTAAAGCATAAAGAGAATCAATACTGAAGCATACTTCTAAAATTTAGGTCAAAAGGACAGTGCAATACTTGCTTTTTTCGGCAGTCCATCAGTATATTATGACACCATTTAAAAACTGTAAATAAAGCTAAGTGGAGAAAACCAAATATATTACGTTCAACTTACTTCATGACACCCATCAAATACAAAGATAGGATTAACGTTACATCGTCTTAGTGAGCAGATGAAACGATTGATTGTCCCACTGAATCCCATATATTCCCCATTAAATTGAGTATATATTCCGGATTTGAAATACAAGAAATTTAAAAAATTATGTGCGTCAATAATAACGTTTGTGTTGTGAAGTTCATATTCACCAAAATTACCCGGATCACTTTGTAAGTACGTTGTTAAACCATGCACACCCATGTTGACTGTGATGACAATAATTAGGGGAAATTACTTCAACTTCGCATTATTTCACTTTTTCAGTGTCTACGATAACTTTGTTGAACACTTGACAAAAAGAATAGAAATTTTAACGAGCAATTCATATACGCGTACATAGATATTTCAATAGAAAAAGTAAGAAGTGGATAATTTAATGTTATTTGTAATAATGAAACATATTTACATGGAGAAAATCAACTCAATTGTACAAGCTGCTCTATAACGTTGGTAAATGACGACAAAGAGATAAGAATTGTTTATAGTGCATTAAAAAGTTCTCACACATTTCGATCTTAGTGCCAACTGACTCCATATCTCCAATTTGATAGCGTTTACGAGGTGGTTCTAACATTGGCTAGACTTCAAGTGAATCCGCTCCAGGACAATCACCAATTTGATGATAACGTAGTCACCATCATGAAATTAACGTATTTTGGATCCAGTGAAATACCGCTTTAATTGCCTCTATCATTATACTTATCTTCACGAAATAACTGAGTTTCAATATAACCAAGAGCATAAGACAGTAGAATAGTGGTCAAACTATTCATACGAACAACTGTATTAATGTACGCTTTCCTAAAGTATTCTTGTTAGAGCAAAAGAAGCAAAACTCCATTCAACATGTTTCAGTAAATTGAAGGTAGCATCATCTTCAATCAATGGTTCACTTAACAAGGGTTGTTTCGGAAGTTGTCTAAGAAATTCTAATTTATCCTAAGTAGCGGGGAACGTAGTTGGGAACTTCTTTTTAAACAACACACTGCTGAGACTCATTTTTTATATTTGATATCTATGAATGAAAAGAGTGCTTGTTAACAAAAGTAGTCAGTTAGGAAGAGTAAAGTAAAACAGAATGCTCAAATTGGTATAGCAAGCATTTATTATTCAACAAAACGACTTTGTGTTTGCACTATACTGTCTTTTAAATCAGTAACATTTGGAGTTAACTCATAATTGGCTATAACGATTCCTCTTCTAGGCGCTGGAGTATAATCACCTCTTAAACCGATGTAATGAATTCGCGTTGTATCACCTCCATAATTGGTCTTCACGTGAATGTTCAGGGTATGAACATTAGAAAAGCGTGCAACTTTCAAAGGATAAATTACTTCACCATTTGGATCGACAGTTAGTTCAAGAATTTGCTCGCACTCAGTCTGTTCTCTATAAATTAAATTGCTTACAATACAAATCAACTTACATCTGTATCTTCAAAAGTCATGAATGGTTTATTTTTATACAACGATACTCGACTTGGATGCTGCTCTGTATCTTCACCAGCTATGATAATACTCATTAACTTTACATTTCCGGTGAATGGTATGTTAAAAAGTAATTCCTGATCAGCATCACTTTCGACATAAACACTTGAATCTTTACGGTCCTGAATGCAGATATGGAAGTGAAACTAGTAAAAATATTGTAGGCATACCTCATATGGTTTAAAAACAAGTTTGCCACTTCCAGAAACAGATTCGTTTAGACACTCTACATTCTGCACATCAATAAACTTGTACAGACTGAATGATGAAGATTCATCACTTTTGTGAGAATGACAACAGTGGCCACTACTGCCTCCACTATTATGGTCACACATTTACTCACTGAAAGGAAATACAGATGTTACTGTGAAAGTGATAGACAAATTTTAATAGAATGATTCAAGCGTATTAACTTTTGTATCGATATATTGTAGTGTAACGTTGTGAGGCACACTAAACGGTCCACAGTCCACACCAGAAGTTTTGCCTTCGAAATACCATGGAGCACGTACTGTACTCATCCACAAAACTACATGTGAACAATTTAACTTATCCTACGCTAAAGCCTCAGGCGACTGCCGTTTCCAACAGATACACGAATCAACTAAGTTCGTCGGAAGCGCTGATGATGTATTGCAAGCAGTACATGGCGCTCCGATTCCAAAATAAACTGAAACTAGGTTTTCAATCACCTTAAATTCTCCAAAGGTGAGACTACACTATTTACTAGAGATAAATGGATAGGGTATGATACCAGATAAGGTGGTAGGATAAAACATCGAGTTTCACCATACTGTTTTATCCTCAAGACAATTGAAATCGTTTGCTGTGTTTCAACACCTAATTTTAGAACTGCTCCAATCCGCATGTGACACAATAAGCCAGCACAACCACAGTTTGAAAATATGAATTAATCGTCTGCTTTGATGTGATGTTTATGTGTCCCAATAATCTACAGACAAAAGATGTTAAAATGACTTCTAATACCATTATGCTGAGACAGATAGAGACACAACAGAACGAGAGTTGACATTTGTGAATGAATATGTACTGCTTTTTGGACAGTGGTCACGAAGACTAGCACCCTAGCTGTGCTGCCTTTCAACTCTGAAGACGATATACCGTGAAAGACTAGTCGTTATAACGAGATAATCTTCAGAGTTTTGGGTTGTCGGAAGAAAGGTTATTTTTGAGAACTCTTCTGACAGCGGATTCTAAAACTTAGCCAAACAAAAATATAAGAGAACATGCACAGAACAACAATGAAAACAGGTGAACACACTTAGCAAGAACAATACTTCGGACTGCTTTCAGAAAAGGGAAACTGAGCGGATTGCAGCATGTTGGAAACTGATTTTGATTACGAGTCATATCTGATGATGTCTCAAGCCAACGAGTCGCATGACCTTTCAGAACTGTGATGCGTAGTCCCATACTAACCAAACAACCTACACTTAACCCATGGTGCCAAGTCAAGAGCCGACCAACTCCTTGCTTTCCATTCAATCCAAAGGCTACGCGAAAAGTGAATACCGTGATTTTCAGACACTGAGAAATATGTTGAGTCACATCACCGACAGCTTCGAGCCATTGGTTCTTTGAGTCCGTGAACAAAATGAAATCCACTGGAATGACATTTGTAGTAAATTCCTTGGTCACTGAAACTACTGTACCAAGATGGCATTACTCATTGAAAGACGATTCCCCCAATGTCCAAAAAGACTGTCGGTCCTAAAAATTACTTGCACGATGATTCCACTGCATGCAAACAATTCTGCAGAGATACTGGTGACGGACACGGAGACGCTGAACATCTTCAGTTTGAAGATGTTTCGTCCCACCGTAATAGAGCAGAACTGTTATGCAGATTGCTGTAAAATCATTTGATGGTCAGCCTAACGGAACGGCGTCACAAGCAATCCAGGTTAGAGCAAGCAAAACCTGGATTTCTTCACACTAGAAAATTCATGCATCACATCATCACCACTTGTACTACTACTACTTAGATACACAGCTTTGTTTTCGGAGACATATATGAAGATCAAGCCACCAAGTCTAACATTAATCCTAAGCATCAACAGTACTGATAGGCTGCTTCTTGCCATTAGTCTGTATATATAATATATATATATCACATGAAAGAGGCGTTTATGATAAGCGGAAACGTATATTTATGGAAAAATGCATAAAAAATGATAAAACGGTTACAATGGGTATCTTTCCTGAACATGGGAGAGAATTCAGCATGGGACTGCCAATAGAGAAGTCGCACCACGTTCTATACATATATTCATCTAAATGACTATAAATGAGATCCATTTATAACCCTTATTCTATTTTTCAATCGACCCCAAAATCCTTCAATGGAATTTGTATGAGTCCCTGTAACTGGATCCACGAAATCACTGGAGTGGTTCACTCTGTGATGAATGTATCCCAGGGATGACAATGAATCATAGCCTTTCCGCTCATCGGTATGTACAGTTGACCCCGGTTTCACAAGTCGCTTTATAATAGGTACCAGAGTAGTCGCCTTCCTGTTTGCTATTCCTTCAACAAATCCTTTTCGGAGGTACGTGTCGTATAAACCTATGACCCAAATGTTGTTCGGTCTCTGACGACAGCGGTTATATTTCTTCTTCACCAACACTGTCTCATCCACATGGACTACTACGTCGTCCCCGCCTAACGACAAAGTAATTCTGTCCATGCGACCTAGCAAAAAAATTTCCTACGAAATATTACCCTCTCTAATACTAACTCGCTTCCAGCATATTCCACAACGATGTACAAAACCATCAGTTGACCTAGTATAGCTTTCTAGAGTCATTACACCACCACACGAACAACTTCTCTCCTTTCGAAGCAAGCCTAAATCTAGGTAATACTGAAAGACACTATGCTCCTCACATTGCAAACGTAACCTTGTAAGGGCACGCAGTGAAATGAATCAAGCGCCATACAACATTGGACGACGTTCGTGAATCTCATTGGATAATTCGACTTCGTTCGCTGATTGGTAGTTATTGGTGTCTAAAGTTTAACTTGGCCGACACGACCCATGTATACACAAGAGAGCGAAACCTTAGGCCTTTTCTATGGCCACCAATTTTCTACGTATCTTGCACTATAGTATTTCAGCTGCTAATAAAATAGACTAATACTCTAGTAGGGGTTTGTGATGGTGGAGCACTTTCCAAACTTGTGCTCAGTTGAGCATATCGATGGCTGAAAATCGCGTGACATTCAAGGTTTCTACAAAGAATTAATTGTCCTCAGGTTATTAGTCGGCGTATGACCTGTCTCACATAGTCTCACTGGGTTTGATTTGTCTGCAATACACTCAATGTGTTTATGGGACGCTTAACCCTTAGTGGAAACCTGGCATGCACTGAAGCACAATCGGAATCCATACAATGTTCTAAATGAAGAAACAATGCTGGTGGTTCCATGTCATCAGAAAAGCCTAAAAAACCTAACTGACTTGAATGAGGGTTCAGCGTCTTTGAGGAGACCATCCACTTGTCTTGTCAAGTCAAATGAAATTAAATAACAGTAATGACGGCACTGTAATCAAACCAAGACAATTTTACCTACTGAATGTTGACAACTACTAATGTTAGTTAATCTGTACGACATAGAAAAAAGAAATAAATGTCGCAAGTAATAATTCACAGAAGTGAGTCACACTATCTCACTTCAGTAGGACGCGTACCGTCGCCCAAAAAAACCGCACATACGAGTGCACATCTAACAAGAATTTGATCAATCGATTAAGTAATGAAATTGGCCATTTTATACGAATGCCACTGCTTTATTGAAAACGCAAAAGTGTTTAGTACATCTTCCAGTGTGCCTTAGAGGCTACCCAAGCTCATTTTATCCAAGTGCATTTTGAACGCTTTCTTTGTGCTGTTGATATGCACATCCCCAAAGACTCTAAATCACACATTCCAGGTTGGTGAGTTCTAAATTTCTTTCCCTGAATAATCCTATATATTTACCTTGTTCGAATATAATGCATTTCAGATATCAGTGCATATTACTAGTTTCTCAATTGCATTTTATTAAAGGTATTTATAAATTAGGCAGAGTACTCGTTCATTGAACAAGCACTCAAATTACCTTAGGTAAGAACTGCTATTGTGCGCTTCACAAATAGCATTAGTAGTTATTACAGCCAGTGCCCCGGAGCGTTGCTTAAAGTGATGAATTCTGCCGAATTAGGAAATGACACAATCGTACATGTTACATTTCAGTTTACATCTTTCTTTGAAACACGACCTTTCGCCACATTGAAATATACACAGACCTTGCCACTACTGCGTCTTCTCACTCTCCGTAACTACCCATGTACCAAAGCTAGTATTTTGGTGCTTTACTTTGGAATTTACAGAAAACGTCCCATTCTCATTCAAGGTGTATTCAACCACCAATTAGGCAACGTCCACAACAGAAAAAATTGTAGCTTCAGGTAATTCCTCAAAATTAATAGCCCACAGCATTCATCACTCAACGTTTTATGTCAATCCTGACTGTTTAAGTCGACCTGTTTAGCTGAAGGCTAGCGATCAAGCTGCGGAGGCTGAAAAATATCATATCATACGCTTATTGTAAAATGACAAAAATAATGAATTCACTGCACATTATGGCTGTTAACTGAGACTGAATAAGGACACGACCTGGTTCAGCGCGCAGTACGGACGACACAACTTCCCCCTCCAGCTTGTTGCCTTCCACTGTTGTGAATCATTTCTGGATCGTACCTGATCCGTACATTCACATTCGGATCCTTTGCTTCGATCTCCTTTTCTCTCCACAAGTACCCTCGGGCTGCGCATATTCATAAGAGAAATGAGTAACTGCATACCAAAAAATACTACTTCGTCACTATGGTTCTGAACGTCCTTACTTGTGCATTCTGGGGATATTTCTAATTCACCAAGTAACTGCATTTTATATGTATATTAATTTGTTTGGACTGAATTTATCTCTAAATACATACATGTTTGTATTTGTTTTGTCTTTTTCACTCGCGTATAAACGAGCCTGATATGGTATGAGTAATAAAATGTTCTCGAAACATCAGCAAATATTACTGTATAACGCTGTGAGACTTTATCAAAATAAATTTTACCAATAGTGGAATTACACTCTACCACGGTGCACAAGTTCTGTTCTTAAATCAATAAACCATCTCAGCCGTTTAGTCCGCAACAAAGCATCCATACCATTTGGTACGCTGTCATGCTACTTCCTGTTGTTCGTACGCCATCACTTGCCAGTTAGTCGGTCATCCTCGCAAAATGACTTTCGGTCCCAAAATATAATTCGTAATTTGAACGATTAATTTGGCATTATGCTTTGTCTTTCATCTAAGTGGAATAAATACAAAAGGAGTTGTGGATATAAGATATTGCATTAGTATACGTCGTACTATCTGTGGACGTAAACGTTCCCACTCTTGAGAATATAATCCAAGCCTGTACACTGGCGGTGTGGCTAGGTTAAGTAAGTAAATTAAACTGTAAGTTTCCCGCCTCATAGTCGCAATCTAGGTTTCATTGGTAGCTAGTATTATGACAGGGGACTTTGTCCTACTTGTTCACCATTAGTTTTTGGTGTCAGCTGAGTCCTGCTTCTTTGACAGTTACAGTTATCATATCTGACTTAGGATAACAGAAAGTCCAGGTAGCCCTCCTGAGCAGACAATGGCAAGGTTAGTTGTTTCCCAAGTGTTTGTGAGATAGCTAAGGCAAAGGCATAGTTGTGATTATTTTTTATTGCATTTTGAATTGTCAGTGATACCGCAAGATAATCCTGCCGATCTGGTTTGTCTGAGTCTGTCTCTTGACCTGTGACGTATTTTTCCAGGAGGTCTGTCTCGATTGCGCCAACGCTTTCATTTGTGATCCAACTCTGAGAAGAAGTCCTGAGATTATTGGTTCACTACCCATATTCGTATGACACAGTTTCCCTTTGGTGAGGAATCTTCTCGCAGTTATTTGATCTATTAAGTGCCGCAACTGTCCAACGGATGGCTGATGATCTTTGGCGTTCATTATATGTTAGACAAACTCCGGTGGGGGTGTGTGGCCAACCATGTACTGGCGAAGTCTCTGTCACTATACTTTCCCTTATTAACTGTTGCATGTGGTGAAAGCACTGTAATGAAGATTTATCTCCCAAGATCACCTCCGAAACAATTGTTGTATGCATTGTTCTTCAGACATTGAAAGGCGTGCTAGATGTAGCTGGTCGAAGTATAGGTTTCGTAACTCATTGCCAATGGGATAAAGTAATTAAGGACACACATCTTTATACTTCGTGTTCTGTGACCTAACTCTATATCAGTGGAAGTAGTTCCGCAGCTTCGGGTGGTATCTGACAAAATCAGATGACCTAACCGTTATGACTACTAAAGTACCTACCTTCACAGAAACTGAAATCTTTAGAGTCAGACTCCATGTTTATTGCATGGGGAATAGCAATGAACAGAAGTTAGACCAAAAAGCATGTGTAAATAAAAAGATCCAAACAGTCAGTCTCAAATAAGTAAAAAATTGCGTGAATTACAGCGAAATTAAATGAAATAACAGGTGTATTATTGGTAAATCAGGCCCACCAATTCAGGGACCACTATATTTTTTAAGATAACTCCCTGAACTCGTCGACAAATGGCGCATGTGAGCGCAGAGGTAAATAATATTATGTAGACGTGTACTGCGTAAACAAAACGGCGGGTGTGTGAAGTGAGGAAACCTAGTCAAACTCATAGAAGGCCTTCATCATTCACCATCGCCCAGTATGGAAAGAGGGCCTGAAAATCATAAAGAGGGCATTCTACTTAATCACTCCTCTTTTCATCCTTGAATTCTTGATCACTGACTTCATCCGGGTGATCATATTGTATGGTGGTATTTTTCTAATGTGTTTACATGAAAAAGAACTTCTGGCCACAATGCACTGTAGTATCGGGAACAGCCAATCATATTTAGGAATCCATGCAACAAATGCGGAGTCCCAGGCGCCGTTCACGAATATTTCGCTTTATTACGATCGCAATGTTTGATGAATGCGTCGTTAACTGCTAAGTTTATAGTTTTTATCAGAAACTCCGTCAGTGTGGAGGAGATCTTCGACTTATTAGATCTTACATTTCTGAATATCGAAGTAGACTGGACTACAAAGA